GCTTTGTGCCTGAATTACATATTCCAAATGTGGTCTGAAAACCGGCCACGAAGAGGCTTGGACTTGCAATATTATGATCGAATTAGGAACAATAACGGGACTGTAGCACACATATCAAATACATTTTTAGAAACTAGCGCACAACAACAGCGTTATTCACTATTCGATCACTCTTGGCAGATCATGAGACCTGAAAGTCACGAGAAAACCATCGGAGCACACGACGAGCTAGATATTGCCTAGATATAATGAATCTGTGTATTGCTCTTATGCTGATCGGTCTTGATATAGTCAAGTTTTGTATTTACGCTTGAATCTTCAGATGACTAACGTAGGTGATATGTGGCTATTCGTGCGGGCCTGCTAGAATTGGACGGGGGAAAATCTTCCGTTCTAGCCTGTGCTGACGTCATGCTTCACTGTAAACGAGTAACCTGGATTATGCTATAATTGTAACCAGATGCCTGGCCAGGGCAGTTGCCCTCAATAGGGAACAGCGAATATTGGTATTGACCGTTAACATAAGTAAAGGGTGGAACCACTACCGCATGACTCAACCGATTGCATAGAGTAGACTGATGCGCGTTGGTTGTCTTTAACTTGATGCGGATTGGTGAAGTGATTGATAGTCAGTGATCTGCCTACCGGATGACTTAACTACAGCCCAGTGACATTACACTGGCATTGCACATCCAAAGAATACAGTGTATCATTACATCGTTCTGTCGGCAGATGCATTGTGCGTAAGATGTAAATGAAGTAAAAGGTATGTGATCAGTAGTTTCCAAGCTTTGAAATGTTTATTAACAATCATATTCATCGTGAGATCAAAAGGTTCTCCGTGTGTACTACTTGTAATCCTCAGAATTCTCTACAACAAAGGAAGTGTTTTTTCGAAAGCCCAAGAAAAACTATGCAAAAGGGTGGAGGATATGTAGTGATGTACAAAAATTCACGAATTGTAAAATTATAATTTATTAAATTGGGGTAATGAACACAACATATTACGATGGAATTCGAAGAGGAAGAAATAGAGATTCTTATGATCACTCCTTCCATATACTTAACGAATGTCCTTTATAGATAATTGTAGATTATTCTGAATGAGTTGGAGATGAAAAAAACTGGCTCCTCGTCCCATAAGCAATGGGGATTGTAGAGAACTAACTTCGAGAAGCAAAGTATACGACGAGTTATTTTTTAAAGTAACAACCTCCCTCGTACTTCTAACAGCACTTTAAACCATTGTATTCATAATCGATTTCCCTCTTTAATTTCTATTACTCCTACCTTGGCTATCAACTCCAAACCTCTTTCTTCGACTTCCTCCTCAAGTGTCACCAATTCTAATGCTCGAAACACTGTCCCGGTTCTACTGAAACGTCACTCCAAACTACACCTTGGAGCCTTCAACGTACGTACCCTATGCCAAACCGGCCAGCAGGCCTCCTTGGCTAAGACCCTAGAATCTCGTACCGTTGGTGTATGCTGTGTGTTCGAAACACACAGGATTCTAGTGTGGTCATTCACTTGACGTCACCTAACCTAGAAGAGGAACCGACGAGATACACCCTCTGTGTATCTGGCGACCCAGTGGCTAATTCTCGTGGACTGACGAGTGTAGGCATAGCACTAAGTATGAGGGTAGAACAAGCACTTTTAGGATGGATTCCTCTTAACAGTCGTCTGTGTGCTGTTCGGCTAAACGGCTCCATAAGAATTCGGAAGTATAAGGATACATGTCGTTGCCTTTTCGTCATCCGTGCCTACGATCCCACTGACTGCAACCCGGATGAAGTGAATGATGGATTTTGCAGTAAGCTTTCTAGGCTTCCTCAAAAAGCTAAACACTCAGACATGGTACTCGTAGCACGTGACTTTAATGCTCAAGTAGGTAACTTAAACCAAACGGAGAGACTTTTAGGTGGTCATTTTGGCTCAGCGATCAGGTAATGGTGACCGTCTGCTACAACTGTGCTCAGAAAATCGTTTATTTCTAACAAGCACTAGTTTTAAACATGAAGAGAGAGATCGTCTAACATGGGGACCCCCTGAACCAAACCAACGATGCACTCAAGTGGACCATATTGCCGTCAGTCATCATTGGATATGCACAATAGGTGACTGCCTCTCGTTCTGGAATATTTGTTTAGACTCTGATCATGCCCCAATACGAGCACGAATTCGCTTGCACCTCACTGGACTCAGAAAAGCCATATCAAGAAGACCCATAAGAGTTTAACTTAGCGGTGAGAAAGCCAAAGGTAAATTTCAGGAACAACTGGGGTCACACTTGTGTAATTCTGAAAACGAGATTGACCAAGATGTTGCCTGGAAAGATATACGAACATCTATGAAAACAGCAGCCACATCTATTAGTGATTTGAACTAAACCGTTAGGAAAAACCAATGGGGTTTCTGCAACATTATATTTGAAATAATCTCAGCGGTTGAAATTTAAATAATTCCAACGTTTCGTTCATCTAACTTGTCCGGACTTCTTCAGGGTAATAATCAAAATCAAACATTGGAATTGTTTGAATTTCAATTGCTGAGATTATTTCAAATATAAATTTGACATATAATGACTTCTCTATACTCGGCGCCCAATTTTTGTCAAGCTATTCGTCCTAATCTTGAGGAATATTCGCATGGAGGGATTAGTTTGACTAATATAGCGTCTAAAATACTAGCCTCAATAATTATCGGGCTCCTAAGGAAGACTCATGAACTGCAAATATGAGAAAACCAGACTGGCTTCAGACCTGGTCGTGACTGCATCGACCACATGTTCACCATTCATCAGATCTTAGAATACAAGCATGTTTATCGGCGTCCAACAATGGTGGTTTTTCTTGACTTAAAAATAGCATTTGACTCTGTAGACTGAGAGGTTCAGTGGCAGTGTCTGTCATTGGAAAGAGTATCTCGGGAGGGTTCTTTACTTGAGTACTACCAGTCGAGTCAGAGCTTATGGCGAACTGTCATCTGGCTTTACAGCCTTAATTGGTGTACAACAAGGTTGTCCACTATCTCCACTTTTGTTCGATTTCATCGTAGACCTACTGCTGGAAATAATGTCCTCATCGTCTGGATTTCGGGTAATTGATCTCCTATCAGGAGGTCCACTTATCGACTTAGAATACGCAGACGAAATAGTCTTGTTTGGTGAAGATGCTGATAAAATGTTGAATCTTTTGATAGCACTGAGCGGGGATGACGGGATGTTTGAGATGAGTTTCTCCCTCCTCTAGATGCAAATTTTTGCTTCAGAACTGACCTGTGTCAACGCCTGAACTAAGGATAGAGCGTGAAGTAGTCGAACGCGTTGACAACTTCGCTTATCTTGGAAGTGTTATCAGCCCTAATGGGTTGATATCTGATGAAATCGCTGCATAAATTCAGAAACCGCTTTTTTTGTCAAGTTATGTCACTTATGTTGAAGGTGAGATATCCGTCTATCAAATAAAGGACGAGTATATTGCGTAGCTGTTTATCCAGTTTTACTATAGGGCTAAGAAACGTGGCCATTATGTGAAGAGGATATTCGCATTTTCTGAGACCACTGGTTAATAATAGTGAAGTTATGCGTATGTTGTTATAGATTGATGTCAAGTCAGTTGTTAATCTTCATCGACTGAGATGGTTGGGTCACGTATGCCTGAGCATAGATTACCACGAAGCGCAACACGGACTGGTGTTGGGGATGGTTGAGAGTTAGGGGCGGCTAAACGAGAATGTGGCCACCGTCCTGAACCATATTTATAGATGCACACTACTTGGTTGAGGTCCGCGTGGCTATCGTAACTAATGGTTGGAGACTATTCGTGACATGATTCAGAATCGATAATGGAGTAGGTGTATACATTCCATGTCTTCCCTTAAACCATGAGATTAAAATCACTTTACACCTTCCTTTCTACCAGCTAATTCTTTCACTCTTCATCATACTCGCATATGCAGTCTTTATATATGTGTATATATTACTACAATTGAAGTAACTACTTCTGTGAATTCGGTGTTCGTCATGTGCTAATGAGGTGTGGCAACTTGAAGCGATGCATATATGTACCTGTTCCTACGTTGTAGATGACATAATGACTGATATATCGTCGTCATATTTTCCCTAACCGCTATGTGCTTCGTAAGTTTCACGCCTACAGCTTCCAAGCAAGCTGATTATGGCACTTTTTTATCCCAAGTACTTTTGAACATGTTTCAGGAGAGCAATATGCTTCCTAATGTAAAAAGAAATTATTAGTATCATAACAAAGAGGCTAAATGAGGAGTTATTATTTCGAATGCTCATCAAGTGGTATCTATCATTTTTTATTAAGTTTTATGAATTGTCTTCTAATACTGCAAAAGCAGCTGGATGCATTTCTGAGTTAGGCTTCCTCATATGCAATCTCTAGTTGGTATCTGCAATAACGTTGATCTAAACTAAATGGCGTTTTTAAGTACAAAAAGTGTTAAATATGTACATCAGAGTCATCCTCTCCTTGTAGTCACGATGTGTATATGGTGTGGTTTTAGCTACTAAAAGCAATATGAGTCAGATCTGTGCTTTAGTTCATGCAATTTCTTGACTCCACCCCTTTAAACTCGTTCTAGTGGATAACGTAGTAGCATAGTCTTTCTATTTTAAGCTACATCATGACCAGCAAAGTAGGATAAACTAGGTGTATCAGTAATGCCCATCAATGAAATATTATTCCTATCTTTTCTCACACTGAAAAAGGAGCCACTCATATCAATATTCGCTTCGAGTTATAGTGCCTCGCAATTTATCTAGTCATATGTCAATGAAAATTTTAGATTTATGTGGAAAAAACGGTTTCCATCGAACTGATTGCAATTGGCTGTCGCTGGAATCCAGAGTTTAATATTTCAGAAACTACTTTGTGCAATATGCTTTCTTGTTAAGTGGTCAAAAATAGTTACCGAATGCCTTGGATCTAGATCTCTTGTCGAGTCAGTTAGGCTATTAGTGACAGTGCCTGGTCTATAAAAAAAACGAACACGGTAATGGTTAACACACAAACTGTGTCAGGCATTCAGATTGTGAACTTTAACAGAAATTTTACCTCACTTACATGGTCGAAAAATTAGACATCGCTTTTTTTATTCTGATTGTCTGTGATGGATATTTACACAGATACCATTCAAGATTCATACATTCTAAACCATCTTTAGCTTTCTGAAATCATTCGTTTGTGGAGTGAATATTATATTTATGACAAAAGAATTTAAAAAGTAAAGAATGATGGGAAATTTACGAGTTCAATCTGAGGGTAGTATATTTCTTGGTATGTACAGATTTACAAAAAATATCATAGGCAGTTCATAAGATGCATACAGTCAAAAAAATATTATAAATATCAAAATTTATAATACATACTATGAAAGTAATATCTAATTTAATTGATTCCACTTGGTGAATAAAGTGTTTTACTAATGAAAAAGACAAATTAATGTGATGAAAATCTGGGGAGGAAATATATGTCATCATGTAATTTAGTCATTCTCGATCAATTCCAAGTCCAGATCCGTGAAAGACAATGTTTGTTTGTTGTTATTTGATTTTTCTTGTAGAATGTCTGAACAGGTACGTTGGCGATTAGGTGTTTGTGGAGAAAGAATACTTTTCATGTCATCTGATTCTCTATCAGAGTTCGAACTCGTTGATGACGGTGTAAAAAGTAAAACTTGTCTACCAGTACTATCATCTTTTAAATTTGTATCAACTGATTCGTTCAATAGTACATCTGGATGATCGTGTACCGGTATTCCACAACTATCACTATTTCTATCATCTGAATTATCCCATTCAATATTTGTTGATGGATGAATTGGGGTAAATGCAATTTCATAAATTGATGGCGATGACAATGGAATTATAGGATGATGATAATTTGTTTCGGATATTCTACCATTATTGCTATTTTCATCAATCATTGTTTCAGGTGTTTCATGTTCCTTTTCATCTTCAGTCATTTCATAAAGTTTTCCTAATTCATTGTACGTGTAACGATGTATTAGGTTTTCTTCAGAAAAAACACTAGGACAATGCTCATAAGACGATATGTAGCACGGATTTCTTAAAGAGTTGGCGACAGAACATGAATTATCGTTTACAGCTTCAGTAATTTTACCATTTTCATTATTATCCATCATCAATGTAGTATTTTTCAAATTAGATTGTGTACAGTGTTTTATTGATGATGCAGTAGAAGACAAATAGTGATAATGCTCATCATGTATATCAGATTCACTTAAAGTGGCATTATCTTGACATTTATGTGCATCAAATATAGACAAACATTTCGAGATGGCAGAAGAACAGGAATATGAAGGAATCATTGATGAATGCTGATCAATGGACGGAAACATTGAATGCCGCTGTACATCATGACATTGACAAGTAGACTGATGATGTTGATGATAATGATGTCGATGGTGACAGTCTAAGGTATCATCTAATCTACTATTTGATAAAATTGTAGACATATAATTTAGATGTTCAATGTCAGACAATGATTTACCATCGTGATTGTTTTTTAACTGATCTGTTGTTCTTTTAAACATACAACAATTGCAAGGCAGTAATTCCTCATGTGCCAATAATTGCTTTCTCTCCTCCTCATGAGTGTGATGATGATAATTATTGGATTCGTTGTGAAAATCAGTATCTCTATAATATTGATTGTTACATTCACCGCTTGGTCCACGTCTACGTTTTAATCCAGCTGCTGTGTTAGCGATGGTGATATTACTAGAAGTTGTTGTTGATGTCTTCGTCGTTATCATCATTGCAGTTGTAGAAATAGTAGTGAAAAACGTACACGTAGTAGTATTAGTAGTGGTAGTAGTAGGTGATTGATGTATATGCTTCAGAGTTCTAGAGCAATGAGGTGAATGTCGATAATTGATATCATAAATTGTATCATCATTGGGCTGTGAACAGCATCTAAGCATACATTTCACTGATGGTAAAGAATAACTACAACAATAACTACCGCTATCACTATTACTGCTACTACTACTACTACTAGTATTTCTACTCTGATGATTATCATTAATATTAGGCTCACTGTCTTCTAATTTAAAGCATGGCTCTAAGTCTGTCAGTTTACTTGATATATCACCAGATTGATTTAATGACTTATTATCGATTGATATGTTTGTTTGATTTCGTCTATGATGGTGATGATAATGCTGTTGACGACGTTGATGACAATTACAATTACAATGATGATTGGAACTTGGACCAGAATCTGAAGATACACCAAACTATAATGAAGACAGAATAAAAGAGAACAGTGAAACATTTATGAACATCTTTAATAAGCGGTAAAACTGTTGAAAATAAACCATTTCCTTCCCTTTGTCTTTTTTAAAACTAAACTGAAAAGTTGATTGAAGCTCAATCCTGAATATCAAAAACGAAATAGTTTAAACTCTTATTGATAGTTATATTAACATAATACTTGTTGAAAAGATAAGGGTCTGTCTTGACTTGGCAGTTCAATAGACAATGATTTCGCATTTGAAACAAAAGGCAATAACTCAAGTCTTAATATGAACATCAACGGACAATTCTCAAATAGAGTGAAAATCTCTTCTTAGATTCTACTGCTCGTCACAATCCATCTATTCTACTCAAAGCGAGGTTTCTAACTGCAACCACAAACAAATAATAATTCACATAAAATAGAAGCATAAATCTTACACTATGTTTTGATGTTCGGTGGTCTGAATGTAGTTAGCAGGAAGAAATATAGGTTATATTGGCGATATTGGCTACTATTACTACTACTCATGGATCAATCGATGGAAATATATACTAGTCCTACAGAAGATCAATAGCGGTACGAAAAACTTAGTGGAGCAGCCTCAGACTGTGATGAGTGTCAAATATCGGGAAATCTATAAATTGCTCAATAGTATTAACTACTTAAACAAATTTCAGTAATTAAATAAGGTCAACTTCAGTACTTTCAAAGGTTCATTAGTACACACAAACAATAACTAAAGTAGTTAACAGAATTGTGGTAAAAATCAAAGTGGCAGATAAAAATAGATGAGAAAAACTTGCTTACACACAATTATAAAAGCAGTTGTTGAATTATTTCCCTAAATGTAAATAAAGATCAATATTCTCGAGCAAATTCAAGCTTAAAAACATGAAGTATTGAACTATAAGTAGTTAGTATTACAATTTAGGGAACAGAAATTATATGCGTCAATTTAAAACAAAAAGAAAAATTGCAGTATATGAAAATAGCCTTTCCTATTCCATTAAAATAACTTACTCTCGAACAATCTGGTAAACTAGATGCTTCAGATAAGCCAAAAAATGAAGCTTCATGAAATCCAGATGAGGGAGTTCGAGTAGTTATTTGAATTGACGAAGATATTGACTCAGTAGTTGGAGAAAGTGAAAATTCGGAAGAGTTAACATCCATTGGGAAACTACCAAATGATGCCCTGGTTGGAGTGAATGCTGATGAAGGACTAGAGAGAGAAACAAGTAGAATGATAGAATATTGAAAATTAGTTTGATATGACTAATTAGATGTTGAATTGATTTACACTTATGGCAGTTTGCAATTAAATGTGAACGACTAAATTTAATAAACTATGCAACACTACCTAAATAAGGATAACTTCATGTTCAAGAACTATTTATGAAAGCAGAAAACTGTATGTAACGAAGAGGCTTTTAAAAAAATCTATGGACATAAAATTCAGTCATCTCCAAGGGATATCAATTAACAAATACGTAGTTGTGTCATATTTTATGTGGTTACTTCTATTTCTCGATAAAACTTTCAACCTCTACTTTCCTTTGTAGTACACTCAACTATTTTAATTTGCTTAGTAGCATCTCAGTCAGCTTTAGATAACATAGAACCTGGAGCAATTGTGTATCGTCTCAAGTCGCCATATCCCAATAGCACAGTTACGTCAAATTATCACGATGAATATTGAATTAGTATCAGTGATAATAGAAAATCTTAAGGATAAATAATATAATACGAGAATTACGAAAGAATTTGCAAAGTCAAAAATATAAAATAATTTTTAGATGAAACTCAAGACCTATGAGAAGACAACAAGTGAATGCATCTGGGTCACCGCAATCGACTCTGAGCCATGTCACATAACGCCTACAATCATTGATCAAGATAATAGTGAGAACCCTAACTTGATAGTTTGCCATTACCAACGTGGCTAAGTTCAGCAGCCAGTTATTTTATCGATTGGTGCCATATGTTTGAATGGTTACCATTAGCTTTCTTCCAACTTAATGATACACAAACGAAAATAATGCATCGAAATAAGTGGTTGTTAGACATACATAACATATGTCCCAACGACTTCAGTTGATCGGTATGAGTAGACTAGTTGTAATAGATTGTTACACAGCTGAAGTTTGATAGGTTAGTACAAATGGTTTATGTATAATCCCTCTATAACCGTATGGTAATCAGTTTCTTAGAATTTACGATTCCTTAAGATGCCACATAAAGTAACCAAGCAAAACAAAGTAACTGACACAATCCAAAGAATTTATATCAGTAGTTTAACTAATTACAAACCAAGAATTGTTTAGCATAAAAAATATTTCTCATGATTATCATAACATTCACACTATGAACTGCAGTAACAACATATTCAGCAAGAATAATATAGGTTTCTTAAATGATGCAATTTTGATCACGGAGGATTTATAACATTTGAACAATAATCTATCACTTGTTTGTATGGAAAAAGCGTATAATTCTATGCGAATATAAATGGAATATGAGATTGATGTTTGAAAAAGTATTCAATAATCGTCAAATAACTGAAGACTGACAGACGACAACTAAATGCTGAAAAGGTATAACATTAATTGACTTAAAGTCTATCCATTTATCTAAGTGTTTGTTTCATTGACAAAGATATCAAAAACTACTTTATGTACGTCGATTTTACAAGAGTGTTAGAAACATGGAATGTATTTCATTATTCATCCTATCAATTGATCACTAATTTAGTAATTAGTAATAGTGATCGAAACATGTTTACAACAATTTTCAATCTTAGTGGATACTATAGACTAGTAATTTATTATATTGTATTCCAATAGAGTATGCGGACATACATGTACACATAAAATGAATAAACAGATACACAAAAACGTAGAAATACCTTTCACTTATAATTCATATATATATATATATATATATATATATATATATATATATATGGAATACCTTATAAACATTATTTCTAGATTTTATATGCTCGTTTATTTTTCTCTCTTTTATAACATGATTAAACATACACATTTGGCAATGAGCCAACATTGTTTTATTTCCAAATTGCTAAAACAAGGGTACAACAAGAACGACGGCCTAAGCCAAAGCAATTTTTCTCTCTCTCTACTTGGATGTCTGATAGCCAGGTTAAAGTTAGTCGGGATTTTCGGTCAATAAGAGAGATTAACCAAAAAATAATCAATAATACGCCAATCATAATAGGCTACAGAAATTTAGATGAAGAAAGGAAACAGTTGTAATTATTTTAACCAATCAAAATGTTTTATTGCTTACGTGTTGGCAATAAATATCATTATTCAGTAAGTACTGACTGCAGTGAAAATAATTCCACATATATATATATATACCATTGGATCCCAGCACGCTGGACTTTAGTCAAGGTGTTCGCTCGCGAGATCGAAGGTACTCGATTTGATTCTGGGATGCTCATTCCTTAGGACTCTTGTGCTAAGACGAAACAGCCGTCTAGAGCTTTCAGATTTTCAGTGGTTATTTAACTTAGGTTTGTAATTTAAATAAAATTTAACAACCACAACGTCATACTAACAATTACTAAGCTGTATTTGATAATTCATTCAGTAAAGTAAGCTACATAACGAAGTATGATGGCACGGCACACAACTGGTGAAAATGAGTTTCTTTTGGTTGAAAACTTTACACTCGATTGCGCTATTACTTATATTCATATTAAGGGTACATGAGACGTTTTCATGTTACCCGTCCTAACCATAGTCATACTTCATAGTGAACTAATTAACATTGTGTTGCACCAAATATTTGATGCGTGTGGTAAAACGGATAGTTTATGGATTCAATGTATTTCATTTTCAGTGTTTCAACTGTACGATATTGAAGGCTACTATTGAAAATAAAATTAATTTCTAGTTGATAAAAAGTTTAACAGTATTTACAGTGTGGTGTGGGCTATTTATATCGACATAAGTGGTATATATCGTGAGTCAGGAATAGAATATCTGGCAGTAGAAGATTGAGCAGGGAAGAACAGAAACAGAAAGCAATTGGATTAGAAATCCAGGAACAATGAAGTCTGAGACAATTAACGAACATTTTGCAAATGAAGTATCAGAGTATGCTTTTTCTGTTTCATCAGGCAACTTTGTAATCTTTGCTAAATATATAATCGGTTGTCCTCACCTGTGTTCACATTCACTACAACAGTACACCGTTAATAAATAAATAAAGTTGTATCAATTCAAATGTATTCTGTTGGTCTATCGAATTACATGAAACATACATTTCGATTTCTTACTGGCCGAGAGTGCTATACCACAAGAAAAGATGTAATGGACTGGATGAAAAAAAGGTGAACGGCGTTTAATATAATCTACAGATTTAATATGAGGGTCAAATTCATGACCTTGTGATTAGATAATTGAACTGATGAGTCATAGCTGTCTAGGTAGGAGTTCTCAGAACAGTAATATTATATAGTACAAGATATTGATGAGACCACTGACTATGAGATACTTTAATTGGAAGTGTTTAACAGAGAACATAGTTCTAAATGATATTCTGATGTGATGTATGCTACATATACCGACATAAGTAGTGCATAATATTAATCAAAAGTGGAATGTCTGGTAGAAGAAGGTTGGGAAAATCGAAATGAAGAGAACGGGAACAGAGAGTAATTGTTATGGTGATGAAGGAACGATGAAATTTGAGACAGTTGATGCGGGATTTGCAAATGAATTATCGAACGTGTGGTTTTCACATTGTACCAGAGAACTCTGTAATTTTGTATTAAAATATAACCGGTTGTCCCCACCTGTGTTCTCGTTCATTATATTATAAATTTAATTTTCTTGTTTTTTTTCACTCTTTCATTTAAAACAATCTTCACTAATAGATGAACTGATATGTTTGTGTATTGTATTCTCTGAGATGAATAATTTAACTGCAAAACATCCGCCTGAACTACAAATATACACCATTCCATAAACTGATATGATAATTAAATTAATGAATCAAGCCATTAAAAAATAGAAGCATTCTATCCGAACCATTTCATGCAATTCCGAGCATCGATCCTGAATAATTATTCTCTGCAAAAATGAATATTGTGAAGTGGTCTCTACATTTAAAGAAGTTGAAAAAGAGCTCTCTGTAGTATCCATTTATCAGCATCATTATATCATTGTCATTTTAAGTTCAAGCTCGATTCACGTAGAACTTCTGCAACTTAAAACACACACACACACACTCTCTCTCTCTCTCTCTCTCTATATATATATATATATATATATATATATATATACCAGTTGTGGTTTTTCCTTTTTTATTTCACATCAAAGAAGGAAGATGAACTCAACAACAACAGAATAAGAAAAATCTCAGATAAAAAGATCATTTGCATGCCAATCATCAGTAGACAAATGAATGAAATATTTAGTTGACAACAAAATATTACCATAGGTAGGCGTACACATACGTGTATGCAGATAAACATACACATACGTACACTCTTCATTTTATATTACTACCTTAAATAGTTGACACAACAGAACCATACCGGACCCTAAATAATTACAAGTGTCACTTAATATTAATATTATTATTACTATTAAATAAATAGCGAAATAATATTTAAATAGTAACAACAAATTCCATTGTTTGGAATAGTTCAATCTGGCATACTATACAGATGTTAGTGTTTAATATTTCAAGAAAAATGCATTTAATTCATATCTATGATTGATTTTATATTATTCCATTACAGTATGTGTGAACTATGTGTGTATTCTTCAAAATATGATTACTTATGCGATGATAATAATAATGGTAATAGTAACGGTCAAACTGTTCAAAATATTATAATTTATGTGACATCTATTTTACAAATACGAATCAAGACCAGGAATCAAGTATATTAGGTCAATTAGACATAACACAATAACTTGACAAACGTATGTATTAGTTCAAGTAGCTACATCTGACACTGGCACAGAGATAGATAGTGAACAACAGTTCTATTTAAGTATGGGATGCTTCATAAATGTGCATCCACAACCCAGTTGGAAAAGAATTAACAAGACATGAAGCAGAGAAAAGTGGAAAGGATATAAATTATAATGGGGAGATAAACTAAGAATTAGTTGAGAAGTAATGACACTTATTGACTATCAATTCATGCAACTTATGATCTCAGAACTATAGATTATGGTTATTGTACAGTATCTACTAAAGCATTTGTAGCTTTAAACACTGTTCATTTCTATCTGTAGCGTTTCTGCTTCACTTCTGTACAGGTAATTATGATGAGTTGAGGCAGACAGTGGGTGGGAATGTATAACTCATAGTACAGTCATTTTAATCAATGTAGACTTACAGCCCCGTTAACAGACTTATTTCTGTTGACAACACTACCTTTTACCTCAACACTATTCACTTGGTAGTCTCATATTATGCAAATAATACTTTATAGTTCATGATTCATAACTATGAAGTAATACAAAGTGAAATGGCGAACAGTATACTTGTTCTTTGATAGACAAATATACATCACACCAAAGTAACAGAAAGTGGAAGTTGGTAAGACTTAAGTTCTTAAAAATAAGATTGAAAATAATACAAACAATTGTAGTTTAATCACAATAAAACGACAAATCAATGATCAAGAAGTTACCTTAATTTACAAATAGTTTTGTAATTTTACATATTAAAGCACTGTTTTTATCAATATTGCATAAACACTGATTAACAACTGAATAGTATACAATTAGTACACTTTAATTCAGAATTACAAAGGATCACTACACACAAAAAGGGAATTAATACAATGGTAAATTTGTAACTCGTGTAGCACATATGGGGTTTATATACTCAGTTTTAAATTACATCTTTTGTATGATGACTATAGATAAATAACTGGTGGATCAGATTTCGCACATTCGGGATACGTGCGTGTTGAGTGAAAGGACGATTATTAAACGCTGTGTTTAGTACATCACACTATACACTGTTCGAGTTCACAGTTTTTTGCATGCATCACAATTGCAATCATAAAATTATAAAATTAAAATAGATAATTTGATTATTCATGGACAAATCACTACTGAAGGGTAAGTAAAAAAAGTGAATAAAACCTAAATGTTGGGGATACCCAGAAAATTCATCGAAAAAAACCCAAAGAAGCCCTGAAAACGCCGGGGAACATCTTATCCAATCAGCATTCAACAGAAGTTTCTCAGAAACATCTAGAAAGTGGAGTCATGTGCCACATTTCTGATTGGATGATTATCTATCTTGCTACCATATTTAGAAGTGTTTCAGAACTTTCCAGATGCCCAGGGCCATCTGAAATGCTATAAATCCAATTTTCTGTACATAAACGAACCTTGGAGTAAAGCTTTCTTCCCATATTTTGCGCCTTCTCTCTCGTGTTCAAGTTGTCATGTTTAGAGTTGGTTTGGAGTTTTTAGAAGAGCTTGGGAAACCGATTCAATTTTTCAGTCAGAAGATTTATCACTAACAGTGAACGAACGATATACATTTAAAAAAAATAAAATAAAACTTGTATGTTTCTGTAACAGATCGACTTGAGACAGACAACCATTGAAAATGAAGAAGCATTGAGTAACTATTTTGTCCTAGTATGGGATTCCATAACAGTGTAAACTCAAGGTTAAAGACAAGAGTCGAATCCACGATCTTCAGGCCTCGTGGCGAGTACATTATTTTCGGACGACCGATCATGCAACTGATAACTTGCATTTTCTCTGCTCGATCAACAATAGGTTTGTGGATATGTAATGATGGGAAATGCGAAGCTTGAATAAAACAGATGATTAGTACTATCTGGTTTCCAATGATCATTTAGTTAAAATCTATCTGTGATGTAAACCACAAGTCGAATACCATTTCTACAAATGTTTGAGAGATAATCGGAAGTTGATACTCTTTGACATCAACATGAATAACTGACTATTACAATCAAGAAACTACTGGATAAAATTGGTTAGACAGTTCAGCTTTAAACCATTAGGTTACACTAAAGTCTCTTCAAGAATGCAGACCACCTCACAATGACATGTGTATATGTTTTCAAGACTGAATAATGAAAATCCGATTTAGTCAGCACCTCACACACGTAAGAAGATTACAAGACCTCGTCTTTATTTCTCAGTGATAAATAAACACAAGTGTAGATTCTATGGTTGGAAGATGTTGTGACTGATATCTCCAGGGGTGACATAATCAATTACATATTTTTAAAAATATAGTAACTCAAATATTTGTGATAGTAAGATTTAAAATTTGTTTCCTTATTCACAAAAGATGGATAGATGTTGCACAGAAATAAATGATACTTAGATTTACAAAAGAACTAACAATATCAAATAATTATATGTAGTTGAATAGTTTGTTTAAATATGAAGACCAAAACTAGATAGGTAAATATTTGTTATCTTATCGAAATACTGATGAAAGTATTCTATTATTATACTGTTTACACAAAATAGATTCTTTATCATTTTTATTTGCATACAATAAATTATTCATTTCGACTTATAGAGTACAAATACTTGAATGGTACATAAACAATCATAAACCTGAAAAAGTTGTCAACAGAAAGCAATGAAATTGAGAAATAATATGGATCTTCGTACAATATATCAGTTAAAGTAGTACTTGAACGAAGGCTTGAAGATATCTAGTTTTGACCATAATCCCTACATAGTTAAATTAATTGATGGATAAATACTTTGAGATGGTGTAATACGGTCAATTGAACAAGAAATTAGAAAAAGACGTTGGAGGTGGATAGGGCAAACATTCAAGAAACCATCAAACTGTATCGTCAGACTGACCATAACTTGAACTCCTCAAGCTAAACACGAAAGAAACAGACCAGATGGAATCAGAGGTATACATCAAAAACATGAATGGGACTTGACAACAATAATAAAAGAGAGCTCAGGGTCAGTGGGCCTATGTTCCATGAAGGGTAACAAGCGTAAGTAAGTATGTTGTAACCAGCAGGGCCAACTAAGTTAGTAGAGAAACAGTTTCTCAACAACTACATTACATGATAATCACTATATTTTGCCAAGTGACTGAATTTAGAAAATATGGATTTCAACTCGGTGGTTAAAAGCTTGTCTTGCTAGCTTCGAGGCATAAACAATCTAGGTTTTTATCCCGTAAACAGATCGATTGTTGATGTGATGTTAAGTAGAATTGTAAACTCTAATAAAATAATTGTTCAATTATTTATATCAACTCGTGATGAAATTTACTTTTATATCAAATAAACATTAACGTAAAACCCTTTAAATAATCAAACATCCTATTAGACAGAAAACAAGTAAATTAAAATTTAAGTGAGAAATCAAATCAATTACGTAATGACATACCTAGGCAATGCATGAATTGACAATGAAGAGTATTGTGAATCTTTAATTTCTATATGACTTGGACGATGATGAACACGATCGAAATGACTTTTATTATTACTATTATTAATATGAATACTGTTGCCACCGCTGCTATTACTATGTGTAGTCCGATTACGTAGACGAACAGATTTTTGTAAATTATCTGAATGTGCTTGTGGGAAGTCTGTAGGAGAGTTATTATGTTGCAGAGTGACTTCACCAACTTCAGTCTGTGAAGATAAATTATTACCATTATTATTGCTACACTTAGTTTGAGCAGCTCCAGAACCAAAGTTAAACAATGGATGATGCCAACTAATACGTGATCCATTATTCATTTTATTAAAAGAGTTTAAATCCAATGGTTTTGGACGTAGAATAACACCATGATCATTATTATTATTATTATTTCGTAAGGTACCACCACCATTATTAGTATTATTGTCATTAGAATTTAATAATTTGACATTATCCATATTAGTGCAACTTTTTGACTTTTCGTTATACACTATTTTTGAATCTAATCGTACTGCAATTGGTCGTGGAAGAGTCCTCATATATGACTGCATTGTTTTCAACATGGCTGCAGAACTATGTTGATTGTTATTATTATTACTGTCATTATTATTACATTTATGACAATGACGATAAGATGAGACTGATGACGGCTGTGGTGGTATATGAGAAGATAAAGAACATGAACAAGATGACATTATAAAAGGAAATGGACGACAAGAATAACCATATGATGATGTCTGTGAATGCATATCAGAACTTGAACTTGTTGAACGACAAACACGCTTTGCCGGTGGTAAAAGATCATGTAAATGTTGAATATGTGAATATGAAGGATTATTTACTTCAAACAGACAACAAGAACAACAAACTGAACAAAAGTAACATGATGTTGATGAAGAGGAAGAGGAAAAAGGAGACGAACATACTGTTTTACATGGTACATTAAATTGATTAATTAATACATTCATATGATCGACTTTATCATCCACAGAACAGGGGAATGAAGCTGATGAAAAGTTGAATGTAGATGTTGAAGGTGTAACAGTATTGTTATTACTATTATTGATTTGATGATGATGGTGATGATGACGATGATGGAGATGAGGATGATAGGGATGATCTATATGGTGATAATGTTGCTGACAAGATTGTATTTCATTGAATTTTAATACATTCGACATGGAATTTAATGAATAATTTGTAGCTGGAGCGCTTGCAGATACTAAACACAAATAATAAAAAAGAAAGGAGAAATATACTTTCATAAAAAAATTGGATAAAGTAGTAGAAATAATGTAACTTAACAGTTAAATATAAATTGATATTACCCATTTGTCTAACCTGCCTAAAGTAAAATGGATAGGGAAATTTTCAACCCGTTATCTGACTCCAATTAAATCGTATGTTGATTGTCATGGAAATACACATGCCGCCAACCATCGTATATTTTTTATCGACTTAAATCGCGTTAGTGAATAATGGAGTTAAATAAGTCAAATACGAGAATGAAGTTTGAATACGTATATTTCATACAATCGTTGGTCTGAGCAGGGAATCAGAGAGAAGGAATGAAGGAAACGAAGCGGAACGAAACAAAGGGACGCGCAGCGGAAAAGGAGAGTGAGCCAACCTAATTTGATAAGGTGTGACTGCAGTTGATCAGTCTCATACTGGCATATATGCATTCTGCGAGGATTGTCTCGATATTGCCATCTCTGATTATAAGTTTTCTATTATGTTCGTAGAATTAATGGTAAAATACGCGTAAGTAGTGGCAGTTTTCTATAAACAGACAGTTTAGAATACTACAGATTTGCCATTTTATTCATACGTATAATTAGAGTCCCAATACAGTTTATTTTATTATGTTTCAAAGAGTGTGAAATACAAACTTTGTCAACAGTTTTTGGAGATGACCTAAGTAAGATAACCACTGAAAACAAGGAAACAGTGGACAATTGTTTTGTCCTAGTGTGAGAATCCTCAACAATGAACACTCAAGACCCTATTGTGGACTGAAACTAGGGTTTTTAGTTCTTGATATGAGCGCCTAACCTTTGGCATCCAAATAGTTTATGTATATAATTTTGATTGGTTCGCGATGTTATGAAACCATCTTTTAATGCAACTGGTAGGTAGCTTCCCCACACCAGTTATGGTCGCACTTCACTGGTCACGTGTCACTAGAATTCCGGGTATCACTTCTCGAGCACACGATCATTTTCAACGTAAAAGGTTTGTTTACACCACGAATTACCATAGATAGACTGTCAGCTTGCATAACATGTGGAAATATATATTACTATCATCATTGTTGTTACATCCTAACGAAGAATAAATGTATGGTAACTGCTAGTAATTATTTATGGACTGTTATTATATACATTCCTAATGGGTAACTATTAATTAACTGTTATATGTATATCCACATTCCTTTTATTATTAGTTTCCATTTGACGAACCGACTGCTATTATACGATTTATTATTCTTAAGTTATTCACAACCTATTAGTTACAGTCTCTCACACTTAGTCACTTTTTGCTTGATCTTATATCACTGTTAGTCTCTATTTTATGGTATGATGTGGTCTGACTAGCTTGCATATGAACCAAGTATGTTCAAAATATATGATTCATATAATGGAAGTTGAGATTTTATTCTGAACACAAACGGATAGGGCTGGGCGAGAAGAACCAATAAGGATTTAGAATTGACTCTAGGTTGCTCATACTGGTTAACATGTCATTGGTTTGGCACAGTGCCAAGGTCATATAAGTCGGTGTTCTAGTTGGCGATTTTATCACGTGATACTTAACAGGACATAAGAACATAACAATTTCCATCATTATTAAACGCATAAATCAATTTAAAAACAGAGAGAATAATGGAAATTCAACTTACAAACATGAAGAGAAGACGAATTCGGTTCAAGATTCTATTAATAGATAAAAAAGACGAATAATAAAATCTGTCACTACAAGCATGGTAGGAGATTATATAATAAATACGAATGTATGATTTAATAGAGTTATGGATGAGCATTAAGGAAAAACATTACTCAAGATCATTTAAATAAATTTAGGTGCTTAAATGTCTGGATTAGATATAATCTAGTTAATAAAAGTTGCATAAGCAATTTCCCATTAGTCAACTAACTGTGCAATTCACTGACACCTTGTTCCAAGTCAAATCTATTACTATCTAACAGAAATACTGATTTAAAGTGGGCTGGATCTCGACTGTCATTGACTAGTGAGATATTAAGATTTTATAATTCTCATCCCAATGACCTTGAATATATTATCTGATGACTAATTTATTAAGTAGTATAATCCAATAAATCTCAGTATTGAGTAAACCCAAGTCTTTTTTTTAAGTCAATCATTGGTCTCATTCATTGTATTAGTTAATTGATCATGGTAATCAGACGAACAAAAAAAGATTTTCTTTTGTTTTTCTATTTTATTAAATTCAGTTAAGAACATTGCTCTACCATGATGATATATATACTGCTGAGGAGTCCCATAATAGGACGAAACGGCCGTCCAGTGTTTCCAGGTTTTCCATAGTGGTCTAGCTTCAATTGACTCATGCTTTCTACTATGAAAAATACTAAATCTCCACAAAACCCCTTCTGATAATTGATATATATACTAATTATAGAAGGGGTTTTGTAGAGATTTAGTATTTATCATTGTTGAAAGCGTGAGTCAATTGAAGCTAGACCACCATGGAAAACCTGGAAACACTGGACGGCCGTTTCGTCCTATTATGGGACTCCTCAGCAGTGCGCATCCACGAACCTGCTCTCGCGAGCGAGATTCGAACCCAGGACCTACCAGTCTCGAGCCGAAGCCCTTAACCGATAGACCACTGAGCTGGCATCCAACGGTGTTAATGTCTAACTTCAACTGATCCACGAAGTTGAGCAACCATTCATCAATTGTCTTCAGTGAGTTCCTATCTCACAACAGACGTGGTTTTGAACTCCACTGGTCACTGCTTCTCACTAGAGCTCCTAGATATACTTCTCGAAATCACTAGTGATGCGCACTGCTGAGGAGTCCCATAATAGGACGAAACGGCCGTCCAGTGTTTCCAGGTTTTCCATGGTGGTCTAGCTTCAATTGACTCACGCTTTCAACAATGATATATATACGTTTATTTCTAATCAGTTTCAATTGAATATTTATGTTAACTTATGCTCACAAGTTGTAGGTATAACTGATAAGAGTTTAACGAAATAAAATGAATTCATGTTAACCTGAACAAATATTTATATATATTCCTAGTGAATTAGTATTTAAGTCACGGAGTGAACATCAACTCTGCGATGGAGGTACATCTAGCTGACGAGTCCCAAATAGAACGCGCATCATGAATTCAACTGCTAGCCACCATCCATCTCTGCTTATAATGTCTAATACTAAAGTCAATATCGAGGCGAATGGCACAGGATGCACATATGCTAATAACGGACTTACCAATCGCCGTACTAAAGGTCAATGAGAAGATCTAAGCAACCAATTCAAAATCAATTTGATTTTTAAGTTTTTTTTTCATTTTTTTTCAAAGGATTTTATTTAATATTGATTAAATCTATCTTTACAATTCTTCATATTATTTCCACATAATAAAGTGTTAATTAATCGGTTAGATTAGCGTAAGAAAAAGACGAAGGGTTGAACCTGACTTTTATGATTTTTAATTTATAAAATTTTATTGATAGAATGATGATTTAGTGCTTTAACTACTGGAAGTTTCCCTCTTCACGTTTTAGGTTCGAATAAATTTCCACCCAAATGATATGACAAAGATAAAAAATAGAAAGATGACATCATTCTAAGCCAATATTTTTTGCAGCTATTCATTGTGAATTTCGGCCAGGATGACAGGTGAAAACTTCGTTCAGTATGACGTTTTTAAAGTCAATATTTTCTTGTATCAATTCAACAAAGACTTTGTTCAATATGACAAGTGTGAACTTTTGGTCAGTGTTACAATTATATTTCCTGTATCAATTCAGGTGAATTATATTCAGTGTGCGTTTCGACAGTAACTCTATGTGTTCCCCATCTCTATGTGATAATTTTTGTATGTAAAGATTAGTATACAAATGATTTTATTTTGATTAACGATGGTGTGGTTTTGGGATTTGTTTGGAGACGAGTTTCTGGGGTGTCAATAAATCTTCATTGCACCGTTCTTTCATGTTCTCACTTCGCATCGTGAGAAATGTAGGGGTTTCCGTCTCCTAGTATAAGCAGTAGAATAGAGGAATTACAGTGGTTCCTAATGTTCAAGTGAAAAGAAGTAGAACTACGGAGCTCAACAGAACCGAAACGTCATAACAGCGACTCCTAAGATATAAAGATTGACTATCCGGATACAAAAGTGGCAACACAAATATAACGCAGTCGACCACACAGTTCAAACAGTGCTGACGGAGTCATTTCTCAGTCATAACAACTTACTATTTCCCTTTCATAACCAGGTAGTAAGTATAATTAGCCATTAAACAGCATGTATTGAATAAGAGTATATGAATCTGTATTTTGTAAATCAAAGAGATCCTAAAAAAAACATTAACTATAACCATAGAAATACTATCAAATAGAATTATCGTTTAAAACATAATCAACACACACATGTACATGTACACAGTAAAGAGTACATGATTCAAATCGACTGCTAGCTTTATTAATCCATTAAAAGTCTATTGTGTATCACAACCACTGACAAATAAAATAATCTCCATAATATTCATACTACCCATGGTGTGTATTACGAATCGAATGAAATTATTATCTATTCAACTTAAAACTGCTTGAAAACAATACCAGCTAATGCGAAAACGCTCCTCAACTCTCTGCCTTTTTTATTTCATCTGTGAAATACTCCTTTTAAAAAAAAGAAATTCTTTAATTACATTATTTAATTAACGATGTATTACAATTGTGTGTATCATTCGGAACAAGAAAAATGTAATAAGAGAGTATACATTATATATCAATAATGGGGTAATTATAAGTTAAGATAATTGTTAGGATCTATTTTCATCTATAGATATTGTTTGTTTAAATTAAGAATTTAAGTTTTAAAAAGATAAACAAGGGGTAGGATGATTGCATGTCCAAAAATAGTGTCTATTGCAAACTGATAACAATTACAAAATGATGGAAGGCTGACTATAAAGTTATCGATGGTTATTTCCTCTCAAATAGCCCGCTTATTCATCCTACTAGACTGAATTTTCATTGCTTGCTGTAAACTAACAGCTTTGAAACTTATTTGAATAATTGCTAAAAGTGGAATCTAAGACGTGCGTTTCGTTCTATTTGGGAATCGTCAGTCGGATTTTTCTGCATCCCAGTGTTAATTTTAACATCTGGACTCGAACATAACACATGTCAATTCAAACACCCAGAACAGTCCATAACGTCAATGAGGCGAATTAGATATGGAATAAATTGAAAATCAATCAGTTCCACAATCGAGCTGATCACTGGACTCAGTAGCTAAGTAGATAACGCACCGGTTTTTTTTAAAAGGAAATGTACTAGGTTTGAGTTCAGGTATGAGCATCAACACTAGAATGCAGGTACATTCAACTGGAGAGTTCATATATCAATAAAAGACTATTCAATCGCAGTCCTAAACATCAACGGTAAGATTCAAACAACCAATACAAATGAACCAGAATTTATTGTTCTTGTTCCGAATCGCAAATGAAAAATGTTTCAGCCTTAAACAACAGGCTAGTAAAGATTTGCACACGTTAGTAAAAGATAAACAGAGGACCAATAAGACTTGTAAAAATACAAATGAAATCACACCATAAATCAAAGCTTCTCACCATCTGAAAACGATCGAAGTTTACAAAAAGTTTTAAAACTAAAAATTTAATATTGATAAAGTTCAATTGCAAGTCACTAGATTATTTTACAAATTTGTGCTGGTATGTCTCATTTTTCGAAGATTTCATTACTATTCCATCAACTATGTGAAATGTTAGTGCAGAAGGATTTATGGAGATAGTGGAATTTTTATAGTGTTTAAGTCAAGAACTGATCTTAGTTAAACCACTAATGAAAACCTGAAAACACTGGATGTACATTTTCACGTTTGCACGCTAGACCGAAGGTCCTGGGTTCGACTTTCGGGTGCAGCGCCATGAACGAGCATCGCTAAAAGGTCTTATACTAGGATGAAACACATGTTCAATACTTTCAGGTTTCCAGTGGAGGTCTAAGAACAGTTCTTAAGTAAACCATGGTAAATAAAATATTTTAAACTTTTTATTCGTAATTCGACTGTTCACAGTACTTGTAGACTGTAGTTGTTATAATTTCTCTTACGACGACCCAGCTATTCCTATTGCTTAGCATTGTTGGACACCAATTCACTCGACAAGTCCCCAAATCAGAACGCGGTTGAACAGGGAAGAAATTATATTCCGAATAACAAAGATAGATGAAGTAAGAAGCACAATAAGAAATACATTAGTATATTCGTAGTTCTTACATGAGAAGATTCTAGAGTCTTCTCCAAGTATCGACTCGCGCTGATTGGATAAGAATAAGCCAAACAGCATGCACCAATGCAATCATGCACAGAACATGCTTTAATTCAATCTATGTCACACTAACAGTAGTTATATATGCATTTCAGAAAACAGCGGTTAGTCAACCACAAATTAACACCAAGTGGTTTCTGGGGATCTGGCGTCCTCAACACCTCTCTTTTTTAACAGTTTGTTCTTGGGGTTCACTTGAGTCTTGACTATCTGCGGCCGTTATCGAAGTGACCACCTACTGGACTTTTTCTTCAGTCGGGACTGGAGGTAGGTTGGAGCTATCTAACGAACTTCGAGCAGATGTCTGCTTTTTGATGGGGAGTCTGGGGCTAACCGTTTCTGTAGCTGGTTCCGGTGTCATGTCCATGTATCTCTTTACATCTTTACTTCATACATGACTTGGTCTAGCCTCCTGACCAAACATACTTCAGTCCAGGGATTATTGTTTGGTCTGTAGTCTCGAGAGGACACCGGACATTCAACCTTATACTTTGGTAGCTCCTAGAATTTAGTCTGTGACATTGATGGTTTTGGACCATCTTCAGTCCTCGTCTCATGAGGATCTAAGCTGGAAACGTCTACTCTCGTAAGGTATCATTCAGTATCGCTCGATAAACAAATTAGTCCTATAGTAATTCGACTATTGTTCTCTCCCCTTTCGACTTAAGTAGAACCCTCTTAAACGTGAACACAAATCTTTCGGCTTCGCCATCTGACTACGGATGGTAAGGGAGCAGTGGAAATGTTTAGTGGCTAGTCGTTGGTAGAATTCTTGAAACTAGCTGGAAGTGAACTGCGAACCGTAATCTGTAATAATTATATCTGGCAACATGTTCCGGAAGAAAATGTCTGTCAAGAGCTGAAGCGTTTTGGTAGTCAGTGGCACGATGGGGAGGATTTCTGGACATTTTGAAAATGTATCAACCACAACCAAACAGGTAGTTTCATTGAAGTTGGCATGTATCCTGGACCAGGGGTACTCAGGCTGTGCCCATGAAACGGTCAGTACTTTAGCGTTCTGTTTTGCCTCTTGTAACACTGTGTGCATCTGTCTACCAGTTCCATGATGTGCTGGTTTATGAGTAGCCAATATGCAAAACTTTGAGCCATGAACTTTATTCGTTTTATTCCGGGATGACCAATATGAAATTGCTTCAGCTTCTTTGGTCTTAGGTATTCCGGCACAACCATTCTCTCTCTCTCTTTTCAAAAATTAAGCGTTCGTTTACGACACACCCTCAAAACCAGCATATAGTCAATCGGTATTGATATAGTGTTTTTAATGATAGGGTCGTTCCTAGAAGCCGATTGAATCTCCGATGCTGACATTTGTAAAGCACGAATGACAGTCGTCAGGTAACATTCTGAGTGGACTTTTGTTGAAAGCAAGGCAATAACTATGAACTCCTCTGCTGTATAGTGTCCACTGGCAAGCCATGACAAGGCTTCTGCCTTACTTAAGTGTTGGGCGCGTCAGTACTGGATGACGAGATCACAACCCAATAGAACCAAGACCCAATGCTGGAGATGATTTGCAGAATGAGCTGGAATACCGTACTTTGGACCGAAACTTTTGAGGAGAGGCTTATGGTCTCTTAGCAGAGTAGGGGTCCGGATGTTATGCATCCGCAATACAAAAGCTGAGTAATAGCTAATTAATCTCAAAAATGGTTGCGGGGCAGAGGCGTTGGTGGGAGTAGGTATCAGTTGTATAGTTTGAACATTTTTCGGATCTGGTCAGAGGCTTGCAGAGTCAAAAATAAATTCAAAATATTTTGCTGATATTAGGAAAAATCAGCACTCTTCGGGACGTAATCGGTAACAATAATCACTAATGCGTCGTGGCACAGTCACCATGCGTTTTCATAGCTCTTCAGACGAAGCAGCAACAATTAAGATATTGCCAAGGTAAGTTGAGACCTCCGGGATACCCAGTAGGATGGTATCCATTAGTTGCTGGAAAATAGATGGGGCGGTCTTAACTCCAAATAGTAAACCGTTATACTGGAACAAACCACGATGGGTATTAGTGGTCAGTAGTTCTCTCGATTCTTCATACAGTTCTATTTGTAAATAAGCATCAGTAAGGTCCAACTTTACGAACTTCCCGCCGTTTAGCATAATGAGTAAATCTGTGGGATTGCGTCAAGGCCTGTAGAGAAATCTGCACCTTTGTTGTGTTTTGTGCCATTTTCCTTGTTGATAACCACAGTTAGTGCTATCCAAGCAGATTCAGAAACAGGTGTGATAACTCCTTGGAGTTGTAGACGATTGATTTATTCATCAACTTTTGATAATGTCACAATATGGCACTGGTCTCTTCGGGCGAAAAACAGGTTTAGCCCCTGGCTTCTATCGAAGGGTTGTTTTCATAGAAGAGCACTGATCCAACACAAGCTGGAAGACGGTTGAGAACTGCGTAATTAAATTCGTTGTATATGCTTCCGGTTCATGGGGTTGTCTTCCCAGATGGTATGCAGTACTTAACGGGACGTCAGCTAGCTGCAGCTGGTCGAACCAATCTAAACCAAGTAAATTTAAATCGGCTGACGTTATGTTACATACCCCAGTAAATGTCGATTCTCAGAAAGAAACTCTAAAATCTAATTGTCCCACCACGCTCAGATAACTACCACATACTGTACGATGCAGTTGTGGTCTTCGATCACTGTCAGTCAGTTAGTCATATGCAACGTAGAGCCTGGGTCATACATACATCAGTTCCAGTTGTTAAATTCCATTAGCACAGTAAGACGAAGTTGTCAGGTCAAATCCCAGAACAGTAGATGTAATTACAGTATTGGTGGTAACAGAGAAGATTAGTCATAGAAGATATGATTCTATAAAATATAAAATGGTAAAATAAAAAAATCTAAAAAGTAATTTAGGTACTTAGGATTCAAGAGAAGATAAAGAGTGAATGCATGTGCATTACCACGAACGATTTCGAACCATGCGACCCAGAATCCCTAACCACTGTTTACGGTATTCACTTTAAACAACCAATGAAAACCAGAGAGCATTGGACAGCCGTTTCGTTCTACTATGGAACTTGTCAGCGACGAGTATCCATGACTTCACTTAAAATAGAACGTAGGTCCTTCAGGGCATGTGGCAAGCGCTAAGCCGAAAGAACTTAGACTATTGAGTTAACATGCAATAATTTACACCCTTAACTTTGACCAATAGGTGAATTAATATTACGTAATCAGGTTATGGATTGAAAACTATCTCCTGCGCCACACAACTGACTAAATTTCTCTGTCGTGTTATAAGTATAGCTTTAGAACAATATTTCCAAGATAAAGAGTACCTTAGTTCACCTTTACTTTATTATTGTGACGCTTCAACATGGAGGAACAAATAGCCATTTCCATGTATTATGTTACACCGGAATGTTATTTAACCATTCAATTCCATTAAAAGTTTCCATTCTAGTTTAAGTGAATCCTGATTGTGTTTTAATGACTTGGGAACATGGGGAATGTTTGAAGCAACTATTGATCCAGAGATGCATTTAGAAAAAACGTATTGAGTTGCAAGCGGCACCAAAAGTATAACTGCACAAGTGCCAGTCATTATCTCGCAATCCAAAGCATTGATGAACAGTAGTCGATTTGGGAGATGGAGAATGATAGGACGTGTAGAACATCTTTATTATTAGAATTTTAAGTCATATGGGTTATTCTAGAAACCAATTGACGTTTGAATATATATATATATACATATATATATATATATGCAGCTTCTATTGCTGAATGACCTCAAATTAGAACAGAAAGGAATTATAGAAAATCTAACAAATCTATTATTAAAAATAATCAGGACCATTCCTTTCAAGATGATCACTGGAGTTAATGAAAAGAAAGCAATGAATACAATAATAACTTCATAGGTGATATATAAAACTATATAAAGGAGATTGACATGAAGATTTAATGTCAACTGATATATATTATTATGAATACTATGGATTCATACCGAAATATGAATAAACTGTTGTATCAAACAACTATTAAACCTCATAGAAAAAGAAATACACTTACAATTATTTCATTTCCATCTTCAAACTCTGACATAGTAGACCGAAGAGAAGAACAAACACTAGAACTTGGTGCAAACACATCATGAAAGTGTACAGTACGTGAATGATGATAATCTTTTGATCCACTTCTCCAATCTGTATTGTTATTATTTGTACTATCATTATCATTACTAGTGATATTACGTTTCAATTGTAAACCAATGATAGAATGTATAGGCATTGAATAAGCATTTCTTGTCTTCAAACCATAAGATTCACAATTGATATTATGTTGTCCTGTATACATTGATTTACTTGTTGTTGATGTTGTTGTTGGCATTACTCCAACTGTCATTTTCATCGTTCTCATTGACATACATGAATCACGTTCATTTAAACTGGATAACTTTAATTGATCAGTTATTAAACTTATTGAACTTGGTGGTCGACCAATATTCATTTGTTTTTGATTATTGTTCACATGTGTTACTGGACATTCAATTGTACTATTAATTTTACTTTTACATTCACTACTTGTCATGGTAACTATTAAGTTAAATTTTATTTTCTTCAATAATTTTCTTTTTGGATTAAAGAAAGTTTAAGTTAACAAAATAATTTTCATCATCTTTTAATCAAATGAATTCCAAGAATTCTATTTTTTTCTTGATTTAATCAATCTGAACAAATTCCAAAGTGGAAAAGAAAGTCAATTATTTAAACTTTAATCCAAATGTATATCTTAATTGATGACGTTTGAATTTGAATTCACCATACGCAAAATCATATAGTATTAAATAGACTGAAAATATAAAATTAATAAAACATCTAAAATAAATTTAGAAATATTGGCATAGTTTCAAATAATGAAGGTAAGAAAGAATTCGATTAGAATATTCAACGTCATTACTTACCTTTATATATAGATATGCCAGCATAGTTTTTATCACATGATAAGAAATAGAACAAGTACTAAAATACTAAAGGTTTTAATAATGGTTAGAATATAATGTTTTTCATTAGCTAATAACTTCAAAAAAATGCATGATAGCATGCGATGTAATAATAAGTATATTTGAGTGTAAGTTCCAGAACCATATGTGTAAAAGTCAAATATATATGTGTGTGCATGTGTATGTACGAGAGAAATATTTAGTTATGAAACAAGACTATCACATGAGTACTGAAAATAAATATTCATATTCAAGGTCAAAAGAACAAGGTGTTTGGTAATTTTATGAGACTTTAATTTAGTCTAGGTTATAAGAAAAAGAAATCCATTTGCCAACTGATTATTTATTTACTAATTATTAGCATTATTAAATTCACTTAGTATTGTTTGTTTGAATCTTCCCATTGATGTGTTAGGACTGCAACTGGTCAGTCTCTAATTGCCATATGTGAATACTGTGCGTATTGCCTCGATATAGCCTAAATTCACGAGCATTGTAATAATAATAATTATTATTATTATTAGCTCTATTGAATATTATATTTTTCGAACAATATAGAATTCTCAGCACAATATATTTCAACAAGTTCCCCTTTCTTACTTCTTGGTCGATCCTGGCGACAAATATTGATTGATCGCCTCTTAGAAGTTAGTAGTCCATTTAATCAACATCTAAATAATGTACATACTTTTCCCTGTATATTGCTAAAAACCACGATATCTCTGACTGGGCCTTTAGTAACTTGTACAACGAAAGGTTGTACACTTTTCAGAAACACATTTCAATGGGTTGTGAGATTAATAGTCATAATGACGTATTAAAACTAACTAAATTAGATAACTTGTTGAAATATCTAGATGGCAGGAACAGGTAGCCCAGATGTTTAAGTAGGGCACCATAATAAAATACAATTAAAATATTTTTTTTTAAACGAACAACACTTTATTAATGATTACTCTTATGATAGAGATTGGGCGAGTTAAACAGGTTGACTACAGCATTTATGTTTGGAGTTTCATCGGGTCCCATGCCTTAGTAGTTGATGTAATTTCGAAATAGATACAATAACCAAGACTTGTTTTAACCACCATACGTCATCTGTGGTGCAGAAGAAATCTCTGTTCTTCCATTAACATGTGAGTATACTTCAAAATCTTTCTTTGTATTACTTTACGGCTGTAACACAACTGATAGATGAAGATAGAAGACATGTGTATGTTACCAGTATTCAATCACAAGTCATTGAAGCAGGTGCTGTATCAATACTCACTTGATGGTTCGACTATACTAGGTGCTGTAGTATAGTTTAACCATCAAGTGAGTATTGGTATAGTTAGGCTTGAGGTTTCAGTTGCAGACGGTTGATAGGTTGGTGGGCTATGGGAATTTATCAACTAAGAAGCATTACGGATGTTCAGCTAACACCTACATTTGCGTTCAATACGGATTGCAGTAGGGATAGGTTGGACAAAATGTTAGAAACGGTCAGACAGAGATATGATATTAATTCATCAAGTTATTGACAGTGGGATTGAAGGGTATGGGTAAATGCAAAATTCTCGGCTAGTATCAATGCCATAGTTGTAGCTCTTCGTTACAGATGTTAAGTAATAGGGATAAAAAACCGTGATAATGGTACGAACATAGTCACTCTTTAATCTTTTTCAGCATTTTAGGTTTCATTACCTGTTTGGATTGGATTTCTTATAATTAATTGTTCAATACTAGTAAAAATTGTCATTTAAACTTAATTGGTTTCTATTTTTGCAGTTTCTCATAACATCGCATACACCTTTTATTGACCAATACAAACTTGGTATACATATATGGAGAGAGCCAAACTAACATGCTATTCATTTACTACCATTGAAATATGTGTACAATTAAACACAAAACACAGATACAATATTGTTAAACTGAAGCATCAGGTCATGAAACAAATAAGTTGACATATTTTGGCGTGTAGGTATTTAGCGTAAAGAGAGAAAAGACTGCATATCATATATATATATATATATATATATATATATATATATATATATATATATATGACATACTTTTGGCTCGATGCCAAAAATTTGACTATTTTCTAATATAAATTAAAAATGTTGGAACTAACCATTCGTTTCATATTACGTACACTATTATTTACAAATTGATGAAGAATAAACTTTTTAAAAAAAGAACACATGATTTTATGTAAACAACAATACATGCCGTTTGCATATCTTAAATGAACTTAATACGAAAGAACTTAATTAATGTTTTTTCACCAATGAAATACTACATAGTGTAATGCATACGATGTATAACAAAAAAGAAAATTGTCGAAAGATAACACATTTTATTTTACGGTAAAGACCTTCAGCGATTTCTGGAATGACCTTGGTAAGGTAAAGGTTACTGAGATTCATGTGTTATAAATAAATGAGTTATTATATAAAGACCTAAATAAAGTTGAGCCTTGTGGTGAAAGAGTAAAAGAATACTTTGTGGTCTCCCGATGACGAATAGCTGTGGAGATAGTTGTTTGATATGTCAAGAACCTTCATATATATATATATATATATATACTTTAGTAGATAGATACTGACAATTCCTACTTAATTCTTAGTTAGCTGTCAATAAAATACAGAGGATATCATTGAGTTTTGAATCTCGGGTAAAAATCCAGGGGCCACCGTGTGATCAGTTCATTAGTTTAGTATACTGTTACTGTCGGTATTAGTTTAACGTGATGAACGATTTCATCACAGAGAGACTTCAGATGAAAAAGCAATGGAAAATATCCCTAAATGCAACTATTCCAAACAAGCCATTCGACTAAGTAATATTTGAGTTTCTACTGGTAATTAATTTAGAAAAGGACCACCAAGGTTCAAATGACAAGTTGTAATCAGTGAAGTTCAGCTATGTCGAGAGTGAGACACTACTTATCGGTGATGTTTAATAAGGGTCATAGTATATCGTGAAATGACTGAAGTTAGAAAAGCAAAAAATTAAATCCCGACTCAGTGGTTTATCTCTTCAAATTTCTGCTTTTGTTATTTGTACTGAGAAATTCACATGATCAAACAATTCACGTAAAAGATACTATGACATCCATAATTTCAGCTTAACGTAGTATATAATATATGTATGCACTGGTAACACTACTATAAAGTGTACAGACCTGTATATGTGGTTGCATTGGTACAGTGAAACGTTTGCCACTTAGTAGAAAATAAAGAAAATGAACTTAAAGAAGGTTTACCTATTAATAGTTTTCTCAAAAAAAAAATTAAATAAACTCATTCTCTAGATATTTGAATGTTAGCCACATTTTGAATGTGAGAGCCCAGCTTGAAGTAAGTGGGGCGGGTTTCGAATTCAGGGTTGAAACTCGAACAACTTAGCCATTAAGTCAATATTGTTAGCAAGATTCTCAATTCGTCAGATATAACTCCTTCCAATCAAATATCATATAGCGGTTATTGCGCTGACACTACTTAATAACAACGTGTAATCTTTTAAACTGAATAATAAAATCGGTTACAAAGTTGTGACATTGGTTCAACCGAAATTCACAAAAACATCATAGTATTCTTCAGACATGGAGTTCATGTGCTAACAAAGATGACCAATCCTGTTCTTTAAAGCAACAACAAAAACATGTCACAGTTTAAAGACAAAATAAAATAATTCCAGCAGCTATAGATTTGGCATAAATTATTTGTTTTTTAAACGTATAAACTAAAAATTGTAAATCCATTTGATATATTACCTTATACTACTTGTATTTGAATAGTAATGTGTTTCGTTAATTTAACGTCTGAACACTTTTTCAATGACTAAAAAATGTAAGACAGTTAATTACAAAAGACAGAAAACCAGTAGATTTTTCTTAGCAAACTGACTAGCTTCGAGAGGTAATTCATGGAGTAAGCAACCAAATCATAAAGCAAATCAAGAACAATGTAAGGTAAAGGTTTAGGATAATGTTAATAGCTATATGACGAAAGAGATACATGTAAATTACAGGTTGGAAAGGGTGGATAGTAAATGAGATAGATAATAGAGCTTATAAAAAGAGACATTTGTACACCAATGACTAACACGAGCTAAATCTTCATCAATTAACACTAAATTGAAGATAAATTGTCACTGATTTTTCTATGAATAAATTCAATCAGAGTAGAATTGAACGGGAATATAGATTAATCAGTTAGTTACCGAATAGTAACCTATTTCCAGGAAGCGATAGCAGTTAAATTTTACAGGCCAATTTCACAATTACTGAATCTGACGATTTTTAATTAACAACACGTTCAAGAATACATGCTCTTGACTAAGTCAACACTTACAACCTGTACATCGTACAATATACTTGCTAGATAAGTAATTGTAGGGCTTTTATATTTTTACTTGGAATCACGGATACTAATACATCAGTATATCGCTCTGCTATAACATACAAGGAGAAGGACGTCAATTGAGCGGATGTTTAATATATGATAAGATAATACTTGCCAGAAGTTTGTAAGATTTTAATTATTTATCCACAACCATTTTCATAATAACCTCAATAAGTTCACAACAAACACTTTAAAAAATGCCTTCAACACTCTGCAACACGTTAACAATTCAATGACGTTTTCATTATGGTAGTAATTATACATTATTTAACACAACAAGTGATTATTGAAAAGAATCTGATCTGCCAATTTTATATTGATTCAAAAGCTATTTGAAGATAGTTAAATCATTTTTATTAAACTAAATTATACTAACATTTGCTTAGTTACAACATTAATAATATATTATCTACTTTCGATTTATCCCCGTATCAAACTGAACATTTATTTCTCTT